TACAATCTGTTTGAACTCCTCCCCTCATGGCATTACAGGTCTGTTAGGTATTTTTTAGTTAGATAGATATTGTTTAGATACTTGATGTATTAGAAATGTTTAGAGTAGACAGGGTGTCCAGCTCAGGCTGTTGCTTAGGCATTCTCATGAGTGCTGCAGGTTGCTTATGGTCAAGGATAACTAGATAGAAAGTTGATGACTGTTAGAAGACAGGATGCTTAATATTATTATTATGACGTGTATAACTGTAGCCATAGCCATAATATTTTCTTATGTTTAATGTCACGACATGTCACTAGAGATCGTGTTAAAATGTTTTTAGCTACACACCACATAATCAACAGACATTCACACATTGATTTTCTTCATGCTTTGAGCGTGATCCAGAAATCAAGTCATGCGCTGCAAAAGCCTTGGTGGATGCACAGGAGCAGACTCCTCTGCAAAGGCTCATCAACCATTACTCTGACTGGACCCGACTAAGAGCCAGTTGTTACTTCGACTAAAGGAGGAGAGGAAAAATATCATGAGTAAAATGAGTCTATCTGAAAGCTGTCCAAGGCAAAGGGAGGTGCTTGCTGCAGCGCACATCAAAAGGTACGAGAAAACACTGAAAACAAGTTTACTTTCTGTGGAGGATCTGGAACAGGCTGAAATGGAGCTAATACGTGTTAGCCAAGTACAATCATATCAACAGGAGATTGTGACCCTTCAAAAAGGTGGTACTGTAAGAAAAACCAGCTCATTCTACAAACTGGATCCTGTTCTGCAGAATGGAATAATTAGAGTGGGTGGTCGACTCTCTAAATTAGCGATGCCAGAAGAAATAAAGCACCCTGTGATCCTTTCCAAGAAATCAAGAATTGCTGTAATGCTTCTGCAGCACATACATCAAGATGTGGGGCATTGTGGGCGTAATTATATGCTGCGTAAGTTGCGCACAAAATACTGGATACCTCAAGCTCATTCAGCCATCAAAGGAATTATTTCAAGATGCACCATTTGCAGGAGGCTCAACAGCAAGACAGGAGAACAAAAAATGGCTGATGTGCCATTGGATCGTACAACTCCTGACAAGCCTCCTTTCACAAATAGTGGAAGTGGATTTTTTCAGACCCTTTGAGGTCAAAAGAGCCAGAAGCCACGCTAAAAGGTATGGGGTAATCTTTACCTGTCTAACTACACGGGCTATACACATTGAAGTAGCTCATAGTTTGGACACAGACTCCTGCATTAATGCGCTCCGCCGCTTCATCTGTCGAAGAGGACAAGTCAGTATTATGAGGTCTGACAATGGAACTAATTTTGTCAGTGCAGAAAGAGAACTGCGGGAAGCATTGAAGGATCTGAATCAGAAGAGGATTACGGATGCCATGATGGAGAAAGGAATCAAATGGATCTTCAACACCCCAGCAGCTTCCCACCATGGAGGAGTGTGGGAAAGACAGATTCGCACTGTGCGAAAGATCCTGAATGCCCTGGTAAAACAACAGTCTTTGGATGATGAAAGATTGACTGTTATGTGTGAAGTTGAGTCCATAATTAACAACAGACCTCTCACATTGGCCTCTGATGACCCCAAAGATCTTGAGGTGATAACACCTAATCATCTGTTGCTTATGAAGACACAACCATGCATCCCCCCTGGAATATTTTCCACAGATGATCAATATGCACGACGACGATGGCGTCAAGTCCAATACATCGCAGATCTGTTTTGGACCAGGTGGCTAAAGGAGTACCTTCCATCACTCCAAAGTCGTCAGAAGTGGACGATACCGAGGAGAAACTTTCAAGTAGGTCATGATGTCTTGATAGCAGATTATGCTGCTCCTCGCAATGCCTGGATAATGGGATGCATTATCGACACATTCCCAGATGTCAAGGGTCATGTTAGACGAGTCACTGTGCAGACCAAAACCAATAAGCTGGACAGACCTGTGAGTAAGCTTTGCTTGCTACAAGAATCAGACTGAGATTGCTGTGTAGTTGCTTAACACAGGCTCATTAAGTACTTTTGCTGTGATAGATAGTTGATTCTGTCCGTGCTGTATTGCATTAACTTTGTTGGCTCTTGTGGTTAATTGCTCTCTGTAAGTGTTTAGAGTTTGTTAACAATTAGGGGCCAGAAATGTAAGAGCCAATCTGAAAAATGTTTAGTTTACGTAGTTATTAAGAAAACATAGCCAACATAGCTTTATGTTTTGGAATAATAAGTTTGTTTTATACAATGTGTTCTAGACATGTTATGTTATGGCATATTGTTGTTTGTTAACCATGTGACCGGATGTGTTTTTTGTTTTCGGGAGGTTCGGACGGTCAGGCTCTGAGCACACAGTTTTTCTGACCGAGTTATAAGCAAGTAATTTGTCAAGTCCTTTGTAACTTTGGACAAGAAACCAGGAAACGTTTTATTTGTATGTTTATTTTTATTTAGTAAACCCTTTGTAAAAAACAAGAACTGGACTGTGGAACTTGTTTATGTTGTGTCATACTGACTGCGTAAGGCCTGCACCATAAAGCGGCACTAAAGGCTAAGGAGTACCGCTACAGTGATGTTTAGACTAGCTTATTCAGACAACTGTATGCTCATGCTGACTTGTCTCCTTGCTGCAAGTAAACCAATGCCTTATTGAAAGATTTCAGTGACTTCGTGACTTCTATGGAAATTCTTTTAACAGCCACGTTTCCACAAAGCATACCAATGCCTTATTGAAAGATTTCAGTGACTTCGTGACTTCTATGGAAATTCTTTTAACAGCCACGTATCCACAAAGCATAATCAAAGGTCAAGGTCAAAGTGTTTGTCATATGCACAGTTGGGAAACGTGTTTCCCTGTACAATGAAATTCTTACTTTGCCATCCACATGAATGCCACAAAATACAAATGAAATATAAATAGATAAATCTTCTTCTTCTTCTTCTTTCGGCTGTTCCCGTTAGGGGTCGCCACAGCGAATCATCTGTTTCCACCTAACTCTATCCTCGGCATCCTCTACTCTCACACCAATTAACTTCATGTCCTCTTTTAGCACATCCATATATCTACTCTTTGGCCTTCCTCTTGCCCTCTTGCCTGGCAGCTCCATCTCCAACATCCTTCTACCAATATAACCACTATCCCTCCTCTGCACATGTCTAAACCATCTCAATCTGGCCTCTCTGACCTTGTCCCCAAAACAGCCGACCTGAGCTGTCCCTCTGATGTGCTTGTTCCTAATCCTGTCCATCCTGGTCACTCCTACAGAGAACCTCAACATCCTCATCTCTGCTACCTCCATCTCTGCCTCTGGTCTTTTCCTCACTGCTACAGTCTCTAACCCATACAGCATAGCTGGTCTCACTACTGTCTTGTACACCTTTCCTTTGATTCTTGCTGACACTCTTCTGTCACACAACACTCCTGACACCTTTCTCCACCCACTCCAACCCGCCTGCACTCACCTCTTCACCTCTTTCCTACACTCCCCATCACACTGGACTGTTGACCCCAAATACTTAAACTCCTGCACCTTCTTGACCTCTGCCCCCTGTAACCTCACGGTTCCACTTCCCTCCCTCTTGTTCATACACATGTATTCGGTTTTACCACGACTGACTGATTCCTCTTCTTTCCAGAGCAGACCTACACCTTTCCAGGTATTCCTCCACCTGCTCTCTGCTCTCACTACAGATCACAATGTCATCCGCAAACATCATTGTCCAAGGAGATTCCTGTCTGACCTCATCTGTCAGATTTTGAGATGGTTTAGACATGTGCAGAGGGGGGATAGTGGTTATATTGGTAGAAGGATGTTGGAGATGGAGCTGCCAGGCAAGAGGTCAAGAGGAAGGCCAAAGAGGAGATTTATGGATGTGCTAAAAGAGGACATGAAGTTAACTGGGGTGACAGTAGAGGATGCCAAGGACAGAGTTAGGTGGAAACAGATGATTCGCTGTGGCGACCCCTAATGGGAACAGCCGAAGGAAAAAGAAGATCGCAATCCATTATACTTTATTACATATTGCACACTAACTATATGCATTAACTATATTTGTTTGTTTTAGTCTTATGGTGCCATTTAATTCGAAAGACAAAATCCAAAGGTGCTGGTGAATGAACCGAGTCACTCTTGTTTGTATTATAGTTAAACATAGTGAGTGGCAACAGATCCCGCTAAAAACGGGAAACAGGGCAAACGTCTAATTCATGTTGAATCTTATTTAGTTTTGGTTCAACTGTTAGCTTTAGTAAAATCACTCATGTTTTACAGACCTGTCCTGTGTAGCTTTACTTGGGGTTTCCAGACGATATCCAGCAGTCTGCGCTGACGATCGATCTCTTTCTCGTAATCGATAACAGCTTTTTCAAAGACCTCGAATATTTCGTCAATAGCAACAGTTAGTCGCTCGTTGATAAACCCTCTCAGATACTGAATTGAAGACATCGTTGATTTGTTTCAGCTTAAATATTTATCGGAAATACGACAACTGTTTTCAAATGACTCCTCATCCAAAGTTAAGCATAATGGCATCTTTGTTCCTTACTTCCGCAGGTGTCACACTGTGAAGTTCCGGCAGTGAAAATAGGCTCGTTCGAGATGAACTGCGCTTCACTTTGGAAGCGGACGACAGTAGGTAGTGGTGACCACGATCGGGAACAAAAATCCGCATTCAAGCTAGACAGTCAGTCATGTTAGGTTCGTTTCATTTGTAGTAATATATGGAGTTTTCAAACGATATCCAGGAGCTTGCACTGTGTTGCGTCTAATACATTGCATTCTTGATTGTTACCACAGGACGGCGTAATGCATTTATGTTGGTAACGTTAGGTTCTTTAGGGCGTAGAAGAAGAAAGGAAAAAGGAAAAGTAAACAAAACAAAACAAAACAAAACAGGTGCTGTTGTATGTGGATGGGACGGGAAGAGCAAATAAAGAGAATAACGAGTCCCTGCTGCGGTTATTCCGACCCTAACACACTGATCGATCTCTTCCTTGTTCTTGTCAACAGTTTGTTTTAAAGAGTTTGAATATTTCTTCTTCAGCAGCAGCTAGTCACTCGTTGACAGACTCTCTCAGTTGAATTGAAAACACTGGCGATTTGTTATAACCGAAAGATTTATCTGAAATACGACCACGCCATCATCTTCACCTGACTCCACACATCCAGAGTTGGCACTGGAACCGTTTTTAACCACGTAGTGAGCACCCCGCCTTAGTTAACGATCTTTGCTGAGAACAGGAAAACAACCCGGCAGCGACTTCCGGTTGCTCATCCGTCTCCAGTCACCGATCTCACTTTTGTATACAAACAGATTCGTCTGCAGGTCTTTGCTCCATACTCTGTGCTCTTCTAGCTCCTCCACGATGGAAGAAAACAACAACGGCGACATCATCGAGCACCACATCGAGGAGGACATGTAGAAGAAGACGAGGAGCCACGCAGCGTCCCCCTCGTTCCTGGAGAGCGTCAGTTCCCCCGATAGAGATTGTCTCAGCAGCACCCAGTCCTCCCACAGACTGCTGGCCTACAGCGATGCCCTCATCTCCATCATCGCCACTGTCATGGTAAGACACACAAAACACTTCATGCATTGCCGGTTACTCAGCAGCGTTCTGGTGTTTGGACTGCAGAGACCAAGATGAGTCAGGCTTCAACTACAAATCACTATGGAGTCAGTACAAGTGGAGGCTTATGCAGAATGCTCCCTGTCATTGTGCTGTTACTGTATGCATGTAATGTAATAATGGATTATTATCACGAACTCATTCATATGTGAGCAGCATTTTTATAGTGCAGCTCGTAGAGGTGGAGCTGATTTCAGATCAGATGATAGGAAACTCACAGCAGCAGCTGATGCATAGTATTGAACTTAAAAAACACTCGAATAAGCATTATTAGCATCAATGATATATAAAGTGAATCATGACAAAAACAGTAATGGATACTATACACCAAACAAAAACTATAAAGGGAGGAGACAAGTTGTAATACATATAAAGCACAGGAACAAGTTTTCAAACCGGCAAAAAGAACAAGAGGTTTTACACATTTCATGGAGTCTAAGGACTAGTAGTCGATCCTGTTTTCAGCTACACAGTGACTACAGAGGGAGTACATGTGTGTAGCAGTCAGGAAACGTCTAGAGATTAAACCACACCATGATTCAAAGCACTGAATTTGTCTTGTGTTGGAGGAAGGATTCAGTTGAAAGTCTCAGTTGTTTACAGATGTGCAGCATCATTACTTCATGTATTTCTCCTCATACTGTTTCATGTTCTCACAGATTTTACCTGTTGCACATACTAAAGTGGAAGATAATGAGGTAATGTTTCACTTCTATCATAAATAAGAAATGGAAAACCTCAATTTTCTTACTGAAAATCCTCAATACAAACGTCAGTAAGAGTACGGATAAAATGCATGAGGACTACTCAGTAGTATTACAGTGATACTGTCATGTATTACTTACCGTAACCAGGGTTTAATGTGTTTCTCTGCACTGCAGGAGCTGAGGGAGAGCATGCAGGTCCTGTTGACAACAAAGATTGGTGTTTACTTAATGACATTCCTCATTGTGACTGTTGCCTGGGCTGCACATATCAGGTCAGTTTTTATCATCATCATCACAACAGCTGTTTTCATGTTTGTTTACGATCCCCTCTTTGTGTCCGACTTCTCAGGTTGTTTCAAATGACTGTACGCATTGATGACTGCCTTGCTTTGCTGAACCTTGTAAGTATAATAGTACAGTTTACAACGTTATAACGACCTGTTAATCAGAATCAGCTTTATTGGTCAGGTGTGACGGACACACGAGGAATTTGACTCTGGTACATCGGCTCTCAATGTGCAAACAGTAAACCAGGATAAGGCTGTGTAATATAACAAAATAAGCAGTATTAACAGCAATATTGACAGCAACAAACAATGCAAACAATGCAGAATAAGCAGTATAAACAGACAGTAAACAATACAGACAAGGAATGTTCATTGAAATGAGATAAATAGGGATAAGGGATAGAGTACTTAAAACTAGAGACCTGTACGAGTCTGTGTGATCTGTACAATGTGTACACACACACACACACACAGAGGTATTGCACTGAGGGTTATTGTCCAGTCATACTGTCGTGGGTTAAGTGTTAATCAGTGTGATGGCCTGGGGGAAGAATCTGTCCCTGTGCCTGGTTGTCTTGGTGAACAGCGACCTGTAACCCTGTCCAGAGGGGAGGAGTTCAAACAGATTGTGTCCAGGGTGTGAGGTGTCTGCAGTGATCCTCTCCGCCCTCCTTTTGACCCGTGAGGTGTACAGGTCCTCCATGGAGGGCAGGCTCACACCAATGA